AGAAGCACAATACACTTGATAATATCTTGGAAACATACTAAGTGCAATTTTGTTAATTCACAAAGTTTCTTAAACATGACAGTCATCTATTCAAGACAGTTCTCAAGCCTTTGCTTGAAAAACTACGAGCTATGGACATTTCCAGTAGCGCTTGAAGAAAACCTTTGAAGTCATGGCTTCTAGTAATGACCTCCACTGGTCTGACAAGTCTGTTACTCCCTCAGTCTTTTCAATAGTCCCTAAACACACCTCCACTTTAGGAACTGTCATCCCTCGACTTAATAAAAAACTACCAGTTTCATTTTACTGCCTTTTCCAGGAATATTCTTTTCCAACAAAGCTATTTCCCAGCCCTTCCCAGGAAACATTCAGGGACCCCACATTTAGGATTGGTTGAGACAGATAAATTGGGATCATAAAGAAAATTAATCAGTCAACAAATAGTTATCGATAACTGTAGGAGCTGAGATAGCCACTAAAGAGAATAGGTCTTCTATTTGTCATTAAAAATTTTACATTAAAAAAAAAAGAGAGGGTCTTCTGTAACTTTACATCCCAGATGGGCTATAACACACTTATGCACAGAAAAAGCTGACTCTAATACAGTGGCAGATTGACAGTGCTAAATGAATGCTGTGGGTAGCAATTGCCATAGGACCCCAGTGACCTACCTTGGACCACAGAGAAGAGATGACCAGGTTATCCTGTCAGGGAAGAGAGGGACACAGAGTGGGAAGGAGGGGACGGGAAACAAGGCGATAGGAGAGATGGGGAGACTCATTTGTATTTCAGAGTTAACAGAGGGAATCTGCAATAAATATACACCTATTTTCGCACACAGTGTCAGCGTGACTATGTTTCCAACACGATTAAGATTAATCTTTTTTTTTTTTTCCTTTTTGTCTTTTTCCGTGACCGGCAATGGATCGCAACCCTCAGTGTCGCGCCCGTACCGGACCGGGACCGGCAACGGGATCGCAACCCTCGGTGTTGCGCCCGCACCTCGCTCAGCCAGTGAGCGGCCGGTCTGTATGTGGGATCCGAACCCTCGGCGGGAGCGCCACCACGCTTCCCAAGCGGCGCACTGTAGCAGTGCACCACCAGGCTGGCCCAAGATTAATCTTGACTTAAGTACATCTGACACTATCCATTTGAAAGGGTGAAACATACTGAGGCTCACTGTTGAGTCTGTTTAGCTCTGTTTAGAATCACAGAAAATGCAGTCATGACTGGCCCTAGTGGAATTACCATCTTATGCTAAGATTGTTCCTCTAGGCTAACCCTCTTCCATAATCTATACCAACCAAATCAATGACAAATGGTCATTCCTTGCAATGAGACAGTTGCATTGATTGACACAACTCATAAATTCTCCCATTCAAAAAGTGTGGCCAGTTTTTCTGTACCTTAATTCCAGATAATTAGGTCCACCTAACCCAGGTGGTGTTAGTAAATCATACATTACATAATCTACAGTAAATATGTTGTTACTATTTCTGGCTGGCCAGTGTCCTGATGTGTGCTTTCTGGTATACCACAACCAGGACATCTGTGATAGTTTCACCAATGTGGGAAAACAAGCTGAGAGAAAGAAAGTGAATTTGAATAGAGTACCCAAGAAAGACAACTTCTTGCAGGAGACATCTGCTGCTCCTGTCTGACCAGCATGGAAGATCGTAGCACTGGATGTTAGTTTGTGCACCTGCCTCTTGCTTGTGCTCTGTAGACTTGGAGGGTTGTCAGTCAAGGGGCTTGTTCCATCCCCCCTACTCCCAGGTAAACTCTAGAAGGAATTTGAATTTTTTTTTTCCTTTTTTGTCTTTTTTCGTGACCGGCAACGGGATCGCAACCCTCGGTGTTGCGCCCGCACCACGCTCAACCGGTGAGTGGACCAGTCTCTATATGGGATCCGAACCCTCGGCGGGAGCGCCACCGCGCTCCCAAGCACCGCACTCAACCGAGTGCGCCACCGGGCCGGCCCAGGAATTTGAATTTTGATAAAAGGGACAAAAGACTAAAAGTGATTGGAATCGATCCATACAATGGCAGTGCCCTGTAAGACTGTCCACCAGTCCTTACTTCTTAGAGTCCCTGGATTCTGTCCTGATGGGTTTGCCTTTCCAGAGGGGTGAGAGGTGAAACTTTCCTCACCACTGTAAGCGATCCCACATATTTTCCATTTGCTATATATATATATATTAGTTTTAGCTAGAGCTGATTTTTGTGGCTTGTATGCACTTTCCTTCCTGTTTCAACTTCCAACCACAGCGTTAGGTTCAAACTGAGCATCGCCCATAGCACAGTACATTGTCGGTCACCACGCTGGTTTCAGTGTAGTAGATTTTAGGGAGAGCAGAGGTAATCAGAGAGGCCAGGGTGATGGTGCCGAGAGGAGGGCACTCTGTTCACAAAGGAATAATCCCTTCAGATCACTCATAACAATGAACACTAAAACAGGTTGTGGCAGACATCACCATGAATGAATTTCAGTACACCCATACTTCATGACAAACATTAGCTATTTCTAACTTCACTCCCCTAGAAAAAACCCATTTGTTCCCAGAAGTCATGCGTCAGGCTTCTGAGCTGAAAACCAACTAGTAGGGGGTATTGTTGCTGTTACCTTCCAGATTAGGTAACCAACAGGACAAAAGCTCCTGCCCCCTGCATTGGAGTTCCCTGCCTGCTTTCCCCTTTCCATCAGCTGCCCACTCAAGTTGTACTTGAATGACAAATCTTGAAGGGTTCTCAACTACAGGCCATGGATTCTGCTCTTGATATTACAGAGAATAAGAGCAATTACAAGACCTGAGACTTGATAAGAAAATGTATTAACTGCCATTTAAAAAGAGTTTTGTATAACAGAAGTATGTTATACCAGGAAGTCTGTGTCATCAGCACCATCAAATACAGCACAGACAAGGATCTAGAGGCAAAACTTTCTCTTATCAGAGGCACAGTCATGTGCATGAGGGGATGGGAAAATGGGTGGGGAGGAAGCACATGTTTGGCAGAGAAAAGGAGAGGAGACAGGAGAAAGGAGCTGGAAGAATCAAGCAACACTTCTTGTTTTTAAGCTAGAGAAGATCTGGATATGTTTGGAGGCAAAGGAGGAAGAGTTACTAAAGAGGGAAAGGCCTGACAGACTGGCCTCATGGAAATGTGTCCTGTGCCATCACCCAGGGCCCTGCATTTAGCTCAGCATTCTGCTGTCACTGTCTTGAGATTCTTCACATATCTTGAATCAGGGTCCTTCGTTTTCATTTTGCACTAGGCCCTGCAAATTCTGTAGTGGGTCATGAGGACTGATATATATGAAAGTGCTCCGAAAGGTATAAAGCCCTTTGTGGTAGGCTGGTTAACGGTCTCCCATAAATGTCCACTTCCTAATCTCTGGAACCTGTGAACAAATTACCCTACATAGCAAAAGAGACTTTGCAGCTGTGACGAAGTTAAGGATTTTGAGATGGGGAGATTGTCCTGGATAATTTGGGTGGGCCCAACGTAATTGCCAGGGTCCTTTTATGCGGAAGGCACTACAGTTATGGTCAGAAAGAAAAGGCATGTGGCAGTGGAAGCAGAGGGAGTGAAAAAGCAGGGACCATGTGATGCGACGTCATGAGCCAAGGGACGCAGGTGGCTTAGAAGCTGGAAAAGGCAAGGAAACAGACTGTCCCCTAGAGCTTCCAGAAGGAACACAGCCTTGCGGATCCATTTTGGACTTCCAACCTCCAGAACTGTACTTTAAAAAATTTGTTTCGTTTTAAGCCACTAAATTTGTGGCAATTTGTTACAGCAGAGACAAGAAGCTAATACACACTACATACATGCAAGGTGATGTGTTGCTAGTTTTGCAGTAATCAAGGATATGAATAAAACAAATAGCAGTTATCACTTTTGAGCTCTTCGTATGGTCTAGGCATTCCACTAAGCCTTTATCTCTGAACTCTTGTGTGATCCTAGAACAATATTTGAGGTGGGAACTAAGGCTGCCATGTAACTAACTAGAATGTTTTAGAGTTGGGATCTGAGCCTGTTCTATGTGGCTTCCAGTGTTTCTGTGTTTGTCCCCACTTGTCCACGTGCCTTATGTTTGCATGGGTCCACACGGGACCGGGGGTGGGGACAATAGATGACATCCACTCCTGGGACGTGTAAAGTGCAGGAGGAGCCAAAGCCACTTCTGCAAGTCGCAGGTGTCTTGTCCAGGCACCCACAGCAGAGGTGAGGCTGCAGGAAGCTGAACGGAGTCCGAGAAGGGCTTCGACCCAGGCCCGGTTCCTCTCCAGCTCGGTGCGTGCGGGTCGGACCCGGAGCCCGGCAGCTATGCGGGGCCGGGACCCACGTGGGAGGCCCCAGCCCGGTTTCCTGGGGCGGCCCGAGGGAAACGCGCCCGCCCCTCGAGTGTTTTGAGGCTCGCGTGGTCCCGCCCCATTGGCCGCCGCGAGCCCGGGGGAGGAAGGACAGCCCCGCTGTCAAGAGCTCGGCTTCGCTCGGCCGCCCTCCCGGACTACAACTCCCACAAGCCCCCGCGCCCAGGGGCGTGGCCTGGGAGCGGGGCGAGGCCTTGGGTGGGCGGGGCCGGCCGGGATGAAGCGAGGGCGCCCGGCTCGACGGTGTTTTGAGGCCCGCGTGGTCCCGCCTCATTGGCCGCCGCGAGCCCGGGGGAGGAAGGACAGCCCCGCTGTCAAGAGCTCGGCTTCGCTCGGCCGCCCTCCCGGACTACAACTCCCACAAGCCCCCGCGCCCAGGGGCGTGGCCTGGGAGCGGGGCGAGGCCTTGGGTGGGCGGGGCCGGCCGGGATGAAGCGAGGGCGCCCGGCTCGACGGTGTTTTGAGGCCCGCGTGGTCCCGCCTCATTGGCCGCCGCGAGCCCGGGGGAGGAGGGACAGCCCCGCGGTCAATTGCTCGGCTTCGCTCGGCCGCCCGCCCGGACTACAGCTCCCACAAGCCCCCGCGCCCGGGGCGTGGCCTGATGTGGGGCGGGGCCTGGGATGGTTCCCCGGCCCCGAGGGGCCCGGCCGGCAGCGGCGGGTCGTGGGGCGGAGAGGCCAGCATGAGCCGGGGGGTCCGGGGGGCCGGCGCCGGGCAGGGGGCGGTGGCCGCGGTGCAGCTGCTGGTCACCCTGAGCGTCCTGCCGAGCGTCATCGAGGCCCAGGTGAGTCCGAAGGAGGGCGGGCCGGGGGCGGCCGCGGCGAGAGGGCCCGGAGGCCCTGAGGCGGTTTCTGGAGAGCGGAAGAGCCGGGGCAGGGACCGCGCGGGCAGAGGCCGACGACGAGGAAGGTGGGGACGGTCCCCGGCTGTTCTCGTTTCTGTCTTTCCGATGCTGTAGGCGGCCGGGAGGTGGACGGGGATGAGGGTGCACCTGGGGGGGGGGGGTGACGCCCCTCCCTCCACGCGATCGCCAGGGAGGGGACATCCTCGACAGACCCCCCAGGCCCGCCAGAGCAGGTGCATTGGGAGGGGGACAAGACTTGACTTCCTTGAACTTCTGGGCCAGGGGTCCCTGGGCTGGTGCTCTTGTCCAGGCGTCTCTCATGGGTCAAGGCTGGTTTATCTTCACCCAGCTGTGCTGTCTTCTAAGTGACATCGTCAGGTGAGCCCAAGTCTGGTCTGGTGGCTCGTGGATGGAGGCTCTGGCTGGAGAGTAAATGAGACTTTGGGGGTTGTCCTGGCCGAGCGGATATTATAGAAGCGTTCTCAGCCTGCTAGAAATCTGGGGTTCGCTGAGCAGAGCCTTTGCCTTAGGGAGGTGTTTGCTGCTTTCCTTACTCTAGAATGTGAACAGGCTGCCAGGGGCTGCTGTGTCTCGTCTGCACCTGCTGCAAAGTGGCAGCACCCCCAAGAGCCGAAAGAAAACAGAAAATGGGTCTCAGGTGGCCTGATAATGAGGGGAGGTCATTTGAAGCAATTAATGCTCTTGCTCAGGAAAATTGAACGTTCCTGTGACTGTAACCGTGTAAACATGTTTTCCTGACTTGATTCAGTTTTTACACGGTTTTATGGTGTCCTGCACTAAATCTCAGAATGCCTGAATATTCCATTTGTATCCATGTTTTAAGATTTTTTAAATGGATGATTTGGTTAAAATAAAAGGGGCAAACTTTAGGTATGGGAGCTTGTTAAAAATGTAGTTGCTCTGGCCCTATCTCCAGATGTATACTCACCCAGGAATCAGCATTTTAAACAAGCTTTTCAGGTATTACTGTAATGCAGTCATCCTTTGGATTGCCTCTTGGACCCCACTTGGAAAACACTGAAATAGTGGAAATCTGGTTATATCTATCAGACTTATGAAAGGTCAATTTTCCAAATTTTCTTTGGCAAAATTATTTTCTGGTTATTAGTTTGGTGTTTGTGTTTGAGTGGAATTTACATTTAGATATTTTTCTAAACTAAGATTTCTCATTTTCTTTTTTTCTTTTTATATAGCACTTATTAATTGTATGCTTTATCACCAATCGAGAAGCTTCATTTTAGGTTTCTTTATATACCATTCATTATGTGTAATTAATGTTTTATAATTGTACCTACACTTTTACGATGTCCAAATGAATATATATAGTTCAACAGTTGAAGATTTGTGCATATCCAAAGTAACATTGTGCCAAAGTCTTCCAAAGTGAATGTTTGGTTTTTGTTTCCAGCAGTACTTTCTATTATAGTGTTCAATCTGTTTTTATAGTGCACTTTATTCTAGAACATGCTCAAATATATATTATTTTATTTGATATATCTCTTAGAAGTGGGGCCATTGAGGTAACTGCAGTTCAAAGAGCTTAAGTGACTTGTTAAGTGAGGCAGTGACATTAAGCTGGAGCCCTAACGTAGGCCCCTTTCTGGTCTGTACAGTCTATCTGTACATTTGCTTCTCTGTAGTATAGAAAAGCAGAGGGAAACCAGCAAAACCAAAAGTGGAACTAAGCCAGTTCTTTCACTTCTTCATCTACTAAATTGGTAGAAAAACAGTAAAGATAAAGGGAAGAATCAGAATTTTTGAACAATAACTCTATTCACAAGAAATAAAGTCATTTAAGGAGATATCTATTTTGAATTTGTCTCTGCAATAAAAGCAGAAAAATATTTTCAAGCACATCACATGATAGATGTTTGTATATCTCATGCCCCATTTTCTTATAAATGAAATGCAAATATGCTTTGTAGTATGGTGAAGCACAAGTGATATAACAATCTTCTTGTAAAAAGTATTTTACTTGGCTCAGATATGTTTTAAATCCTTCTAAATGCATTTCTTAGGTGCCATGAAATCAAGGAATACACAGAGCTCCCCAACAAATGGGAAGCTGGAAACGTGGGACTCAAATAGCGCTGTACCAGTTCATTACCCTGAGGGTTTCTCCCAAACCCTGAAGACCTTGAGCCTCTGCTTTAACAGCTGCATGGGTGGAGTGGGCAAGAAATAATGCCTGTGTCTTGCCAGAGAGAAGAAATTAATAGGAGACCCCACTATAAAGCCTGGACCCAAAGAGCTACAGCCTCAATGTCAGCATAAGTGCGAAATGAATCTCACTATGAGTAAGGGAAAGTAGAGAAACTTGCTAAGGGAAGGGGGAAAACTCTCCTGAGACTTTGTAACCACGAGCCAGCCCTTGCATGGATCTGCAGGCCAAATTCATGCTACTTGTGCGGGAAAAGCTTCAAGTGGAAAATTTAATGTATAGCAGTCCCAGATTTGTATGCCATGGGTTACTGGTAAAAGCAAATATCCACCCCCTCTGGAGGGATTTATTTTCAACTCAAGCCCTAAAGAATTCTCGAAGATAAAATGCCAAGAAGAATAAACAACTAACAGTAAAAAGTCACAAAGCACACAAGGAATCAGGGCACCATGAACCAGATATTAGAAACAGGCGACAGAAACAGACATGTAATGACCTTAGATTCTGAAATTACCAGATGGATAATTTAATATCAGTATGTTTAATGTGTTTAAATATTAAAAAAAAAAAAAGAAACTTGAAAGTATGAAAAGGGAAGAAAGATTGTAAAGAATGGCCAAAAAGATTAAAAAATAATGAAATAGAAGTTCTAGAAATGAAATGAGTAACTCAGTGGGTGGATTGAACAGCTGATTATACCCAGCTGAAGGAATGATTATTGAATTAGACAACCATTTCTTCTTTTTTCTTTCTACTTAATCCTTTGTCACCTCCTGTTCTGTCCCCACTGTCAGCTTCGTGCCTCACTAACAAAATTGGAGCCATCCGAAGAGAATGTCCAGAGAATCATCCGCATCTGTCCGTGTGCTGGTCCCTATACGCACGTACTGTGACTTCCCGTGGGTCACTATAGATGAACTGTTTGTGCTTTTATCAAAAGCCGGTCCCTCAACTTGCGTGTTAGGTTCTGTTCCTTCTTTCCCTCTCAAGGACATGGCTCTGACGATCTTCCCTGTCTCTCCTGGATCACTGATTTTCCCTTCTCTAATGGACTGTTACTGTCATCGTAAAACATGCTGTTAACTCTGCTGTCATAAAGTTCTCTCTTGACCCACCCATCCTTTCTGCCTCGGCCCCATTTTGTCCATTCTGTCTCTAGAAAAACTCCTCAAAATACGTAAAGTTATCTTTATTTTATTCCTCCTGGTCTGGTCCTCCTGTTGTCTCTTCAGCCCATTCCAATCAGACTTTTGCCCCTTCCACTCCTCCGAAACCATGCTTGTCAAGGACACTAATGTCCTCCTTGTGGGCAGGGCCACTGGTTAGCTCTTAAGCCTGAGTTTTACTCGTTGGCAGCATTTTTTCATAGCACGACACTTACTCTCCTTGAAATACTTTTTTCTTTTGGCATCCGGGATACTGTATTTTCTGGTTTTCTCCCTGTTAGGCCAGTCTTTACCCTTGATCGCTACTCATTTGAACCTGAGGATTGAAATCTTGTACTCTCTCCTCTCTGTTTTAGTCATTTCATCTAGTCTCTTGGCTTTAAATACCACCTGTGCAGCTGACTCTCAAATTCAAGTCTCCAGACTAGGATTCTCAGCTACAGATCCGTTTATCCAACATTTTTTCTTTTTTTTTGTCCTTTTTGAGACGGCTGCACTGTGCTCAGCCAGTGAGCGCTGTGAGCGCACCGGTCATCCCTATATAGGATCCGAACCCGCGGCGGGAGCGCTGCTGCACTCCCAGCGCCTCACCCTCCCGAGTGCGCCACGGGCTCGGCCCCCAACATTTTTTCAACATCTCCACTAGGATGACTAATAGGTATCTCAAATTTGATATATCAGGAACCAAATTCCCTATCTTTTCCCCCAAATCTGTTCTTCCCATGCTAAAGCTTACAGGAATGCTACAGCCAGACTGGCCTCTCTGTTTCTCAAATGTGGCAAATGTGTTCTTGCTTCAAGGCCTTTGTACCAGCTGTTTCCTTCTCTTAGCATACTTTTCTCATATATTCTCCTGGTGCACTTACTTATTCTCATGGTTTCTTAGGTTTCTGCTGGAGTGTCGCTTTATCTGACATGTCCCCTTATTCAAAATGTCCCCTTTCCTGACTATGCAATATAAGATATATGCATCCTCACCACGTTCCTTTGACTCTCCACCCACCTGCTTCCTATCTCACTTGGTGTGGTGTCATACAGACAAAATCAGGTCTTTGTCTCTTACTGCTGGCACTGAGCTCCTAAAACTCTTGGAATTTCCCAAGTGACAGGAATGACTTGTTTTTCATAAGGAGTCCCTTTCAGACACACCTGAGTTGATGCTAATGAAGTGATTTAGGGTGGGGTCCCCACCTAACTTCAGGATGCAGCTGGTGACCACAAAGAGCAAGAGCTGAGAATGCTGGAACTTTGGGTCCCACCCACCAACCTCCAGGAAGGAGAGAGGGTGACGCTGGAGACTGAGCACTGGAAAAACTCTTCAACAGCTAGACTTCATGAGCGTCGGGGTTGGTGAACACATTGACTTGCTGGGAGGGTGGTGTGCCAGGAGAGGGCATGGAAGCTCCATGCATTGCCATGAAAGCTCCCTGTGAAGATGTAAGCTCCTTGAGGGTAGAGATTTTTGTCTTGTTTTCTTTGTAATTCAATATTTGCACCACTTCAAACAGTGCAAAGCTTAGGCTAGGTCTGAACAAATACATAAATTTGAATGGAATTACATTCAATACATAAATTACATGAATGGAAGATAAATGCAAATAAATGATTCAGAATGAAATCTAGAGAGACAATGGGATAATATATATTAAAGAGAACTTAGGAGACAGAGAATAAAGAAGGTCTAATATGTCTCATTAGAGTTGCAGAAGAATAGAATGGAATAGGGGAGAAGCAGTATTGATTTAGAATAGGGGAGATCAGTATGAAAAAGATAACCCAGTAGAAAAATGAACAAAAGATATAAATAGACATTTCACACAAGAAGAAATACAAATATCTCATAAAACGTATAAACATTGTACCTTGTTAGTGCAAATTTTAAAAAAATCAGATAACATTGTTCTTTAGCCAGATCTGAAAACAATCTAAATATGGATTGTATTAGTTTCCTATTGCTGCCGTAACAAATCGCCACAAACTTAGTGAGTTAAGACAACATAAATTTATCTTGTAGTTCTGGGGCCAGAAGTTCTAGGTTTTACAGGGTTAAAATCAGGGTGTCAGCAGGTTGCATTTCTTCTGGAGGCTCCCAGAAGGAGAATCGTTTCTTGCCTTTTCTAAGCTTCTGGAGGCGTTTGTGACCTTGGCTTGTGACCTCTTCCTCCACCTTCAAAGCCAGCAGTGTACCCTATTCTGTCTCTTTCTCTGACTGACACTCTTTGTAACCACATTAGTCCCACCTGAATATAGTCTTCCCATCTGAAGTTTCTTAACGGAATCAAACTTTAAGTCCCTTTTGCCATGGGAAATAACTTACAGTAATCGGAGTTTTCAGGAATTAGGACATGGGCATCTTCTTTGTGGCAGGGGTGGGCTGGGGTGGGCATTATTCTGCCTTCTATATGGGTCAACAGTAGAACCATTAAATGGTGATATTTTCATATAATGCAACATTTACAAAAGAGAAAATGAATTTTTATTCTTGTATCTTGGTGTCCACACAATTAAAATATTTTTTAAAAAATAAAATATGATGGTTTACAAACTAAAAGTTGACAATTTAAGAAAAATTTATAAAAAAAGTGCAGTCACTAGATAAAACATTTTTGAAACCTAGAGAGTTTTTTTGGTTTGTATCTGTTCCCTTTTTTCCTATTGTTATGTAGGGAGCTAGAATTTGAAGTCTTGTAAGTAGTAAGCGAGAGCTGTGGGACGGCATTGGGGAGTTAGTGACAGGATCCTAGTAAGTGTGACAGCAAAGCAAACAGAACTCCAGAGCCACAGTTCTTGAGAGCGGTCCCTTGTTTTTTATCTCAAGATAGTATGTATAACTCTAACTCTATGTTGCGGGGAGTTTGGGGACACATTTACACTCCTAGGGAGAAAGAAAAAGAGATAGCTGGCAAGGACTGGTTTCCATGATCTGGTCATTGCTTGTTCCTCCAAGGCACCGTGAGTAACTTCTAACAGGCTGAGCCCCATTTCTGTTTTTAATTGAAAATTTAGATTGAGATAGTTTACGTTTATGTGCAGTTATTAATACCAATTTCTTTTCTTGGATTAATGTACAGCTGGAGTAGTGAACGGATAAGAGAATGGATTTTAAAGTCTGATAGATTTGGGAATGTGTTCTATTTCTACTTTGGAAAAATTGTTTCTTTGCTAAACCTTAATTTCCTTATATGTAAAATGAGGATAATAATATTTATTCATAGGATACTTCTAAAGTGAAAATGAGGTAACATATGTAAAGCTCTTAGCACCATGCCTATCAGTATTACATAAGTGACAGCCTAAATGAAAGATATACATTACTACAGCAATAAGATTACAGTCTGTGACTTCTAGGATAGTCTGGGAAGAGATTGCTTTAATATTCCAGTGTCTACTTGGATTTTATATATGTTTAGGAAGGGAAAGGAAAATTTAATGTTTTTCATTTTGCACACTAAACAAGAATGTTTAGTTCTTCAGAATGGGTATATTTAATCTTTTTATTTTTTTTATTTCATTGACCACAGGAAAATTAAATGGCTGCTTTAATGTTCTGTATCTTAATCAGCAAATACCAACTAACTTGAATGAATAAATTATCTTTTTATGTATTATGTATTAGTACAGCTTTGTTAAAGTTGAAACATAAGTAATTTACGTATTTTAAATTACATACATATGAATTCTAGGTCGCTGGAGTTCTGGATGATTGCTTGTGTGATATTGACAGCATTGATACCTTCAACACCTACAAAATCTTCCCCAAAATTAAAAGATTGCAAGAGCGTGACTATTTTCGTTATTATAAGGTAAGTGCCATCAGTGCCAAAGGTTTCTATATAGCGGTCTGCAGATGTGACTTTTGTGACCTTTTTGAAAACCTGTCTGGACTCCTCTCATCACCCTGTGTATATCTTTTATATACTAAGAATCTGAATCCCCTTTGTATGTTTGGGGAATTCCTCGTCTTACAGTTTCAGTTTTGAGACAGGGATTCTTCCCTCTACAGAGGCTGAAAATGCCAGTGACTTATTTTGCCAGCCTCCCTTGTAAGGTTGGTTCTGCCACCGATCTGGACACACCTGCTCAGGCTTTGAGCTGTGCCGAGGGCAGCGTGCTAGCATTGTGAGCGGTGGTACAAACCACAGCAGCAGCGTGCACTGGACAGCTCTCTGGGAGCTGGAACACTACCCATGGTAAAACCACAGAATTCATTCTTAAATCTGCTGATAGTCTGCTCTGGACCTTTACAGAATAACCAATGATAGTTTAAAGGCAGCAGCAGTCTTTAAATATGGCAATAAGGCAATCTTTAAAAGAATGATATTTTAAATTTTAGAACAATATTTTAAAGGATTCAATAGGTTTATAATTTCTTTAATTTTCATTTTTAGTTTATTCTAAAAATTGAGCAGGATTTTCTTCTTACCCTGATTCTGTATAGGCTACCTTTAAATATTTTTGAGGATCACAAAATCCAGTACTTTGGCAGTTTTAAGTTGTACAGATAGACAACAAATTAGAGAATTAAAGATTTTAATTCCTTTTCCCTGTCAGCACCAAGAATATCCAAAAAAGGTGAATGCAAAATCCTTTAGGAATGCAGATTCTATGAATTTATTTCAAAGAGTAATCTATACCTAAACAAACTTTTGACTGTCTATTATTCTATGCATTTTGCATATAAATAAGACATATACCTTTTGCATATAAATTACTTCTAATTCCCAGCACTAAACCTATAAATCTTTCTGCATTTGTAGCTGCTTTCACCTGCTTCCTTTCCACTATTAGGTTGAAGCATATGAAATTGTTACTTATATTTCAAAAATGGTTAATTATGCCAGTTTCATATGACTCAATCTAATGCAATGGAGGAAGTATTCCTTCTATCAAAGACTGTCCCTTCACAGGAAGTTCAGATCACATCTCCACCCATAGGTCACAACCCTCGCTCTTTCACTCTTCTCTTTTGGGATTGCATCTTCTATTTCTGTAACCCTACAAGCCCTGGTCAATAGAAGCACTCAAATATTTGAATGAATGAATGAATATCTCATTTAACCTTCACACCAAATTTTGTCAGTATTATCCACATTTTTCTTTTTTTTTTTTTTTTCCTTTTTGTTTTTTTTTGTGACCGGTAACGGGATCACAACCCTCGGTGTCGCGTCCGTACCGCAACTGGCAACGGGATCGCAACCCTTGGTGTCGTGCCCGCACCGCGCTCAACCAGTGCGCGGACTGGTCTCTATATGGGATCTGAACCCTCCGCGGGAGCGCCGCCGCGCTCCCAAGCACCACACTCTACCGAGTGCGCCACCGGGCTGGCCCACATTTTTCAAATGAAGAAATAATGGTTTAGGGATCCTACTTTTGTTGACTAACAAAACACAAGTTTTATTAAGAAAAGCTATGGAGTAGCTCACAAAATTGAAAGATAAGCCAAGGAAGCCTACACTTCAGAAAAGATGAAAATAGAGCACAAATTAATGGCCATTCTCTTTAAGGTATTACCAAAATTTGGGATGAAATGAACCATTTTCCCATATTTTTGCAATGTTTTATACAAGTGTCAAATTTCTGGAGGAGAGGTTCTGATTGGTGGAGGGAGGGTCACGTGACCCTTTGACCAGAAGAGGGAAGGATACCTTGGTTGACAGTCCCATTGCATGAATATAAAAGGAGTCATCGTTTCTCAAAGGCAAATCAGGGGACTGTCAACTGGATGGGTAAAATAATATTGTGGCTCTTGGCTACACAGTGTGCAATCTCATTCTTCCTCTTACGCGTGTGGTTCAAAATTGTCCTACCCAACACAATGAATTATTCCATATGTAACCAAAACACACGCATACCCTCCCCCAAAGGAGGATAATGTCATGATCCAGTTAATCTCCGAGTCTAGGTTATTTGGGCGATATCTACTCCTTTTAGTTCTGTCAACCTATGAAATAAATAAAAAGGAAATTTAACCAGTCGCTGTATACTGCACATGCAATAGTTGCAAAATAGGAAAGCTAAGAGAAGGGGTTAATTTTAAATACACACATACATATGATTTAGTGAGCAAGGAAATACAGGTAGGAGCAGGTCTGCCTTTATGCAGCCGGGCAGTTGGCTGCTGCGGCTGATGTTTACGACTTCTCCGTTGTACTGTCCATTCCGTTTCTTTACTCACCACGTCTTTATTGAATGACTGCTTTGTGCCAGTCCTTAGCCTACATACTGTAGATACAATAGTGACTAAGACAAAGCTTTTGTTCCAGTTAGGGAGACAAATAATAAACAAGTAAACCACAGTCTCAGATAGTTATAAGGTAAGTGCTATGGAGAAAAATAAAGCAAAATAAAAGATAGAGTAACGGGTTGGAGGTGGGGGAGTAGGTAGCCCTGTACCGCAGAAGGTGGTCAGGAAAGGAAGGTATTCATGCTCATGTAATGGTGGAGCGAAGACCTACCTAACGTGGAAGAGTAAGCCGTGATAGGATCTGGGGAAAGAATGTTCCAAGGAAGGGGAATAGAATAGCAAGTGTAAGGTCTTCACACAGGAACAAGCTTAGCGTGTTTGAGGACTAGGAAGAAAGCTGCAGGACAGTAAATGAGACAGAGTTGGAGAGAGGTAGGGGCCAGAAAAAAGGAAAAAATAGGGCCTACTGACCATATGAGGATGTTTGATTTTATCCTAAGCACAATCAGAAAGTATTGGAAGGATTTTTGTACAAAATAGACTATTTGGTATGAGATAGAAAATAGAGAAACCATTGTGGAGGCTATTGCAGTTGTCCAGGCGAAGATACAGATTTGGAATAGACTGCTAGCGTCGGAAGAGGCGGAAAATGATCAAATTAGCAACGTATGGGAAAGGTAACACCAATTCGCTGTTCTGATGGCTTGAGTGTGGAGTGTGAGAAGTGAAATCAAGGATGACGGCCTAAGCTTTGAGCACATAAAATACACATATATCATGACCAAGCCGATCTTATTCCAAGAACGCAAGGATGCTTCTTTTATAGCTTCAAAATTCAACATATGTTCCTGATTAAAATTCAATAAAATAAGAATGGTGGATACTTCCTTAACATGCTGATCTCAGTTCTAACATGAGCATCACCAGCGTCTCACTTATGGGGAATCTCACTTAGGTTAGGAACCGAGATGAGGATACCCACCATCTCCATAACTGTTGGACGTACTAGCCAGTGCAAACAGGAAAAGACAACCAGAGGCATACAGATTTAAAAAGAATAAGTAAAATGATTCGCACTTGTAAATGACAAGAATATACCTAGAATACTCAAGAGTCACTAATAAAATGAACACAAACAATAAAAAATGCACTAAGATAACAGGCTGTAAACATAACGTCCAAAACAATATTTTCATAAATGCAAACAATAACCAGTTAGAATTTATAATGGAAAAGCAAACCTCATTTACATTAGCAACGAAAAAGATAAAATATATAGGAATAAATGTATCAAGAAATGTGCAAAACGTAAAAGATGAAAGCTTCAACACACTCCTGAAAGATGCAGAAGTAGGCTTGAACAAATGGAAGGATGTCTTCTGTAGCATAAAGATGTTAGTTCTCCCCAGGTTAGTACAGTCAGTCCTCTATCCGTGGGTTCCACATGCATGCATTCAACCATCTGCAGATAGAAAATATTTGGAAAAAAAATTATGTCTGTGCTGAATATATACAGACTTTTTTCCTAAATAATACAGTATAACAACTGTTCACGTAGCATTTACATTGTATTAGGAGTTATAAGTTATCTAGAGATGATTTAAAGTATATATGAGGATGTGCTTGGGTTATATGCAGACACTACACCATTTTAGAACAGGGACTTGAGTGTCTGTAGATTTTGGTATCTGCAGGAGGTCCTGGAACCAGTCCCTGGTGGATACCCAGGGATGACTTTATATAAATCTAATGAGATCCTTATAAAAATATCAGCGAGTTTTTGTTTTCTTTCTCCTGGAGTTGACAAGTTGTCACAGGCTGGGTTCCGTGGGAAGGAGACTTTAAGGTCAGAGATTAATTGGGGACTACTCTTGGGACCAACAACTGAGGGAGGGAAAGGAAGGGAGGAAATCAGGACTGGGCACAAAGAGAAGTCAGGCCCTGATGCGGCCTCAGTGGAAAGCTCACATAACGCTTCGGGGAATTCTCGAGATGGGCTGACCCACGTGTGGTGAGAGGTCTAGGCCTTTATATCCCCACATCAGTCAGTCTTTGGATGAAGGCCACCACAGGAAGGGGGGATGCGACATTGGACGGATCAGACTGGATGATGTCCAGTAACCTGTCTTCAAGTTTGCTAGTCCTTTCTTCTGCTTCATGTAGTCTGCTTTGAACCCCTCTATTGACTTTCTGAGTGTAGTTATTCGTCAGATCCGTGATTTCTGTTTGGTACTTCTGTGTATTTTCTCTCTGTGTAAGTTTTCAGTTTGTTCATGCTCTGCTCTCCGTAGTGACCATCTTTGTAAGTGTCATTTTGAATACCCTGTCCAATAAATCACGTTTCACCATTTCATTAGGGTCAGCTTCTGGAGATTTATCTTGTTCTATTTTTGTAACACATTTCTCTGTTTCTTCATTTTCCTTGACTCTTTGTGTTGGTTTCTGTGCATTAGATAAAAGAACCACTTCCTCCTGTCTTGTTAGACTGGTCTCATGTAGGAGATGTTTCTCTTAAATTGGCCTGGCCAGGGATTCTAGGTGCCTCAAAACTCTTTGTGCATGTTCAGTCTGTTGTCTTTGTTCTTAGTGGCCCCTAAGAAATTAGAGCGTCAAATCATGCTATTGCCTTGAGGTGGGGTAGAAACCAGTCCCTTGGGATGCAGCTGAAGAGGTCAGGGTGTTAGATGTGTGTTCCAGTTGCTTCTTTCCTGGCAGAGAAGCTGAGAGTCAGAGTTTGTCTCCTGCTGTTCTGCCCTGTGTTAAGGAGAGGGTCTGAGGCAGATGCCTGTGCTCCTGATCAGAGATCAGGCTGCTGACTTAACCTGGGGAGAGAGCTGCTGAACATTTGCAAGTTTGTTCTCTGCAGTGTGGGAGACTCAGGAGTGCAGAGCTCTGTCAACTCACTGAGCTAGGTGATTTAGGAGCCGGTGCCTCAAGTGAAGGCTGTAAAAGTTGGGGCCCTTGATGTGTGCAGAAACTACTTCCAGGGGGAGCCTTCAGGTCTGGAGTTGTCACTGAAGCAAGCCAAGGAAGAAGGCACAGGGAGTGCTCCTTTCCCCATTCAGGCACAGTGACGTCCCTCTGTTTCCCTCTAGTGAGAAGTTGCAGAAATTTATCCCAGGAGCAAGCCAGGGAAGAGGGCACGGGAGTGCTGTCCCTCCTGTTCTTGCTGACGAAGGCCTCCAACCTCTTTCCAGGGAGAGACTGTAGGGTTGCGATTGTCACTGCAGCAAGCTGGGGGAGAAGATGCATGAAATGCCATCCTTCCCATGTAGGCTGTAGGTGGTGTATTCATTACTGACCACCCCTCGGACACATAGACTTGCAGATGCCAGCTTATTAGAGGCCAAAACCCCAGGGAGCTACCGGAAAAGCATGTGGCCAAACCCTGTCCGGGGGTAGTTGGAAGACAGGCTGACCCCAGGGGCTACAGTGGCTGGAAATGCTCTTGAGGTTCAGAACCCTCCTTTATTCTTTGTGCTTGAAGGAAATCTCTGATGCCCTGTCCCTGTCATTCCCTGAGCATGGTAATTTAAGAGCCAGGCCCTCCTGCAGGGACTGTAAAAGCTGGACACCATAGGGTGGTATGAGCCCCTCTTCCCTTGGGAAGAAGCTGGGAGTGGGGCTTCCCTTCCCACGAGAAGGCTCTGTGCCCAGTGTAGAGTTAGTGCACGAGTTGCATGTGCAAATCTTCTCAGTTGTCTAGTGTGTAGATTTGACTTTGATTTGGAGGGATTTGATCCCTGTGTGGGAGTTTACTCGGTGTGCAGAGCCTCCTATTCTGCCATGGGGCTGATGTCACCTCGAATTCTGAGCATTTTCTGAAGATAGAGCTGGGCGGGTTTTCCGAGGTGGTGCATGTGGGGTGAGGAAGAGAGGAGTCAAGGGTGAGATGTCAAGGTTTTGGGCTGAGGAGCTAGAGCGATGGGCCTGCTCTTTCCTGAGCTGGCGAGAGTGGCGCGGAGGAGCACGGCAGTGGGTATGTTAAGTTGGAGGTGCCTGTGGGAGCTCAAGGGAGCTGTCCAGCTGAGAACCCGCAGTCCTCAAACGTGCCGCGCTGTTTTAAGCTTCTTTGTCTTTGCATATCCCGACCCCTCTGCCTAGAAATGTCTTTCTCTAGAACACTGCGAGCCAGACCCATCTTATGTATTACCAAGGTCAAGGTTGATCACCCTGTCCTCTGTGTTGCTGGTCTCTCTGCCTATTTTTGCATCTTCCTCTGTAATGTTGCTATTGTTTACTTCACTTAACACATATTTATTGAGGTGTCTATTATGATTCTAGGCACTGGAGATAAAATAATAAGGCAAAATTCTGATCCTCACAGTGGGTGGTGCAGACAATAAAGAAGTCAACAAACAATATTCATGTAGGGACAAATGCTGTGAGAGTGTATCAAGCGGTATGTTGGGTGGAGGTTGCATGCTGAGCACCGCTTTAGAGTCTGGCTGGGGAAGGTCTCTGCTGAGGTGATACTTGAGAGAGACCTGAAGGAGGTGACGGAGTGAGCCGTCAGGTCTGGACGGGCCACGGGAGCAGCCAGTGGAAAGGCTTTGAGACCTAGGGAGCTTGGTGTGTTTCCAGCAAGAGGCCGGTGTGGCTGGAGGAGCCTGAGAGAGGATATCAGCGGTGGGCCGGATCCAGGTCGTGGAGGGCCTTGTCCAGCTTGCTGCGGGGTGTGGATTGACTGTAAGGGTGACAGGAAGCCACAGGAAGGTTCTGAGCAGGGATGATTGTGATCCGATTGATTGTCGCTTATAACTGTCGTTGCTGGGTGGGGGGCTGGCAGTAGCAGCAGGGAGGCCATTGCAATAGCAAAACTCTGGATTTTCCTTTGTGGCACTTACCCCAACTTGTAATTAAATAAACATAACATATTTAATTTCTGTTTCCTTCAGTGGATTGTAAATTCTGGAGGTGAGGGGCCCGTGTCTTTTTTTCCCCTAGAGCCTGGCACCATGCCTGACACATAGCGGGTGCTCAGTGCATACTCGTTAAGTGAACGGACGCCTGTGAGAACCCTGTTTGATAAGGTAACCTTAGGGGCTGGAAGACGTTAAGGTGGTTCTAGAATCCGTTCCAGCGTTGTTCAGATGAGCACTGAACTTGATCTCTATTCCTTTTCTCAAGTGTCATAGGACGAATAGCAGCCATTTATTTTAAAAATTAACATTGCATCCGAAAAACTGCCGTCATTTAAAATCTCGAACTGTATAGATGCCACAAGGATAGGAAACTTCTCCTTAACTCACCGCCATGTCACTGGTGCCCAGCACAGTGACACTTGGGTAGCAATTCCGTAACTACGGTACACGTTTACTAATGCTGACTTATTCTTTCTCTCAAGGTTAATCTGAAGCGGCCATGTCCCTTCTGGGCAGAAGATGGCCACTGTTCCATAAAAGACTGTCACGTGGAGCCCTGTCCAGAGGTATAATCAATAAATAAAAATAATAAGGAAAAATTTGCAAGCATAACCTCTGTACTTTATTTTAGGCTAATGTCAATGGATTTGGGCTCTTGGTGCTCTTTTTAATAACCACATCTTGAGGGCGTTTTCTATATTTACTGCCTAAATGGGCTTGAAGACACTTGTGTCCAGTGGGATTGGTGATAGGATGTGGAAGTGTACAGTCTGATTCTAAAATGTAAGGAAAATTGGAGGCTTGTTCTAGGACTGAATCTATAGTTGGCTTTTATTTCATGCTTTATTGACTCTGTATCTTGTTTCATAGGCAAAAAAAAAAAAAAATACTAGACCCTACACTTCAAATTTAGAGTGGGAATTAGAGTGCAGAAAGTGGGGAAATTGTAGGCTTGGAATTAGGTTTTCACTTGGTCTTGATACATTTTTTTTAAAAAGGCTATGTTTATTACCAAGAAAATAACGTCTAGCATAGTTAATTGTATTTATCTCCTTGAACAGTTATTAGTTGTAAACTATATTTTTATTTCACTTTTTGCTTCCCTTACCTAATGAGTTAGTCTAGTTTGTTGTCTTTAAAAATAGGAAAAGAGCATATTGACCAGTTTCCTTCCTGAAGGGAAAATTCAAGTGTTTTATTCTTTTCAAACGTTTTAGTTTGAAATAATTTCAGACTTACAGAAAAGTTGCAAGAATAGTACAAAGAATTCCCATAAACTTTTCATCCAGATTTCTAGAATGTTAATATTTCTCACATTTGCTCTATTAATCTCTTTTTAATATATTTATTATCATTTTATGAACCACAGATATGTTACAGACATGACAATCCATTACCTCTAAATACTTCAGTGTATATTTCCATAAAAACAGGAATATTCTCTCATATAGCCACAGCATAATTAATAAAATTAGGAAATTAACATTAATATACTGCTAATGTCTAATCTGTGGACCTTGATCAGATATTGCCAGCTGACTTCATCTGCTTGTGCTTTGTAGCCACACACGGAAGTTTCTGGTGTAGAATCGAGTTCAGAATTGTACATTGCAGTCAGTGGTCACGTCTCTTTCACTCTGGGATGGTTCCTCAGGATTTCTGTTTTTCATTGTCTTGACTTCCTCCCTCCCTGCCTTCCTTTTTTTAGGATACAGGCCAGTTATTTTGTAGGATATGCCTCATTTTGGGTTTCTCTGGTGTTTCCTAATGGTTAGATTCAGGTCACACGTGTTTGGCAGGTATCCCATAGTGGTGATGTTGTGTCCTTGTGTCCTTCCCAGCCTGCCATATCAGAAGGCACATGATGTCATCTTGGTGACTTGTTTAGGGTGATGTCTGCCAGATCTCTTCACTGTAAAGCGGAAACTCCTTTTAGACTATGAAAATGTGCTGTTTTTCATCATGCTTTTTACCTGTTAGTTTAAGCGTCCAACGATGATTCTTGCCTGAAGCAATCGTATGATGGTTGTCAAGTCGTGCTTGTCTAGATCTAGTTTTTCTGTATTTTTAGTTGACATTCTACTGTCAGCAAGAGCTGTTTTTTGTCTTCCCTTTCTTTATTTAATTATAGATTTATGTCAGTATGAACTTTTGAATATTTATTTAGCAGTGTATTATGTTACTATCATTATTTGTTTTTTATAATAGCTTTGTCGAGACATAATTTATATACCATAAATTTCACCCTTTCTAAACTGTGCAGTTCAGTGGTTTTTAGTATATACATACAATTACACAAATTTCACTGCTAATTTTACAACATTTTCATCACCCCAAAAGAAACCTCATTCTCATTAGCAATGACTCCCTATTACCCTCACCTCTTCTCCCTGGAAACTACCAATCTACATTCTGTCTCTATGGATTCACCTAGTATGGACATTTCATGCAAGTAAAATCATGCAGTGTATGGTCTTTTGAGTCTGGGTTCTTTCACTTAGCATAATGCTGTAAAGGTCTGTCTGTGCTGCAGCACGAATCCGTACTTCATTCCTTCTTACTCCAAATAATACTGAATTGTAGGGATAGACCACATTTTGTTTATCTGTTCATCAGTCAATGGACATTTGGGTTGTTTCCACCCAAAACAGATAATTACAGATTATTACAGATAATTACAGGTTATTACAGATAATAATACTGTGAACATTCATGTACAAGTTTTTGTGTGGACATTTGTTTTCATTTCTCTTGGGCATACACCTTGGAGTGGAATTACTGGACCATATGGTAACTGTGTGTTACTGTTCGAGGTACTCCAAACAGTTTCCAACATGGCTGCACCATTTTACATTTCCGCCAGTGAGGTATTAGGGTCCCAGTTGCTCTACATGCTTGTCAACATTTGTGATTGTCTGCCTTTTTATTTTAGCCATTCTAGTGGGTGGTATCTAATTGTGGATTTGATTTGCACTTTCCTGATGGCCAGTAATATCGAGCATCTTTTCAGGTGCTTATTGACCATGTGTATATCTTCTTTGAAGAAATGGCTATTCAAATCCTTTGCCCATATTTAAATTGAAAACTAATTGTTTTCTCATTGCTGAGTTGTAAGAGCTCATTATTTGGCTTTGATACACAGTGTTGTGTTTGTCTCTCTTTGGGGAAGAATTCATTAGGCATTTCATATTGTACCCAAACTTGCGATGCAGTATGCATTCTATAATTTGAAGCCAAATTTAATTGTGAGGGTCACTTAATTTCATAATTTATAGACTGCTCCATATTACTTGTGTTAGAGACAATAACCAGATTTATTCCATGCTTGATTTTATATTAGCTTTACATTTATCATTACTTTTAATAATTATTTTTTGTATGTATTGTTTATGTGTTATTCATGATAGTCTTCTCCCTGGTATTTATAAATGGCCTATATCTAAGGTTTGCTTTAATCAAATTATTACATTCTGCACCAGACTTTTTAAAAAGCTGCTAATAGGGCCGGCCCGGTGGTGCACTGCTACAGTGCGCCGCTTGGGAGCGCGGCGGCGCTCCCGCCGAGGGTTCGGAACCCACGTACAGACCGGTTCCCGCTCACTGGCTGAGCGAGGGGCGGGCGCAGCACCGAGGGTTGCGATCCCGTTGCCGGTCCCGGTCCGGTGCGGGCGCGACACTGAGGGTTGTGGTCCGTTGCCAGACACGAAAAAAGACAAAAAGGGAAAAAAATAAAAATAAAAAAATAAAAAATAAAAAGCTGCTAATAATTGTGATTTTGGCATACTATACTCTACTGCTTAGAGGACATATAGTAGTCAGAGAGCACTTTCGGTTAATATTTGTTCCAGATTGTAAATTCAGGGTCTTATAACTTTGTCTAGATTTGACTTGAGTTTTATAATTTTCTCTCCTGCTCCCTATTAGAGGTCCTAGAGAAAACACCGAAGTGATAAAATATTGGCAGCAAGTGATATTTTATCTAGATAGTCTTTTTGTTGATAGGGAAAAAAAATCTCTTATTGTCACCATCGTCATCTACATTCTTCAGCCTGACAGGGCAATATTTATTCTAAATATTAGGTTAGAACTTGTCTATGAAACATGAACAATTTTTAATGAGTAATTTGCCGTTAATTTGAAAACCATAGATTCAGATGTTGGAAATCATTCCCCTGAGTTGATCAGAGGATCAGCCTGGGATTGTCTTCTTTCAAATATGATTTTTGTTTAAAGTTCTATTTGATAAACCACTTGTAATAATTCACAGATTTATTTATCAAATCTTGACACTTCCTTGTACTTCCTAGTACTGGCCATTCACCCCCAAAAAAGAAAAGAAAAAAGCTTCACACTAATTATAGGCTTTGTGGAAAAGAGTATTGGATCTACATGCAGTTCTTCCACTGGCAAACCCTCGATTACTTGGATTGGAAGCCCTAATCATATGGGCTGAATATCTGGCTCTTGCCTTCTAGTAATCCAAAATGCCTAAACCTCAGTTGGTTAGAGTATGGTGTTGATAACACCAAGGTCCGGGCTTTGATCCCTATTACCGGCCAGCCACCAAAAGTTAAGGGGGAAAAAAAAGCCTAAATTTTAAATGTTATCTTAGAGCAGAAATTAAGATTGAGCATAATATATTTTAAATAATTTTGAACTTTAAAAAGATTCCTTTTCTGTGGCTATGGAAAAAGTGATTTTCAGATTTTTAACCTAAAAATTATATAACCTATAAAGAAACATTGCATTGAGAGTTATTAGAACTGATTTGACTCTCTGACTTTGTGTATGTCATTCGATTGTCTATACTTTGATTTATAAGTCTGTAAATTAGGACAACTCTTTACTTTTACTTTAAGGGGTAGTGTGAAAACAGAATTCGAATGAATGTATATTTGCTGCCCACGACATAAAATACCCTGTGAATGAGAGCAGTGCATTACCAATTTGTGAAGAAATCTCAAAGAAGTGTAGAGATCACTTTTAAAATTTTTGTTTTCGTTCTTTTAAGAGTAAAGTTCCAGTTGGAATTAAAGCCGGGCATTCTAATAAGGTGAGTCCCTTTTCTTCCTCGAATGATTCTGCTTCACATAGTGAAAGTCACCACTTACTCCTGGATAGTGTTTGCAGTAGAGATGTTAGCAGTAACCATAACATGGTTAGTCGGAATAGAGACATTGCCTCAGGGGTCCAAATCCCTAATTCTTGCAGCAAGCAGAGAGATCATACAATCCTAGCTTTTTTTGAAGTTATTTCAGTTCTGTTTTTGCAACCTGTAGAAGAACTATAAAATGCAACTACAATGTCAGATCACCTATTCGGCAGGTTTGTTTTCTCATGTAGGTATATCTAGTCTTCTGTTTCAACTATTCAACCTGTTAGATGCAGGGTTATATTGTGTAAACAATAATCAAGATATTTTGAGTAGAATACTTTTGAATGGTATTAAAATAGTCCTGTATTAAAGATGACCCTTTTCTCCTAGGATGAGCCTGCTGTCATTTATTTTGCCATTCATGTTTTGGGTAACTGTTGACTTCTAATCTTTCACCATTGTACGTTCGTAATAAAGATCATCCCCCCTCTCTGCCTTCTTGTGCACCCTCTCTCCATTTCTTCCTGCTCTCTCTCCCATGTAGTTTCGTTTGTGCTCACTGTCTCATATTTATTTTTTGTCTCAGATCTATCATCAATAAATAAAACAGTATAAAGCCAGCTGAAACCCCCCGAACTTCTTCCCGATCCCATTCTACTTCCTCCTCCTCTGGAGCTCCCCATTTTTCTGAAGGATACTTCCATGGTCTTATATTCTCATTGCACATGGATCTATACGTCATATGCTTTATACTTCTATTGCATGTGTGTCTGCAAGTAATGCACAGATTATTGTGTGTGAAATTTAAGAAATTTTAAAATAACATTATATTTTTGTATTTCTTCAGGTTAAAAACATTTTTTTTCAGTTGATATTTTACCCAGTGTTATGCTTCTGAAATCTTTACTGTGTTGATAATATGTGGATTGTGCTCATTCATCTTAGTAACTGTGCAGTAGTCAGTTGTGAGAGTAAAACACAGACTAGCCATTCTTCTATTGATGGATTTTTCAATTGTTTCTGGTTTTTTGCTATTACAAATGATGATGCACTAGCATTTTGTCCTTTGTCATTGTGCACAAATGTAAGAATTTCTCTAGGTCTATATTTAGAAGGAGGATGCCTGAACTGTAGACGTACCTATCTCAACATGACAAGGTAGCACCAACTAACTTTCTAAGGTGGTCCTTTTCCTACCTTTTATTTTCAATTTTTGCCTTGGGATATGGTCTCAGGAATGGGACTATTAATTCAAGGGTTTATGCAATTTTACAGCTCTCTAAATATGTTGTCAAATTTCTTGTCTGAAAGCGTTTTCTCACTTTACATCATCACCAACACACCAATGCTAGTTGCTAAATTTTTAATGTCTTTGCTTATGTAGTAGGTGGGAACTCGTACCTCGTTTCATTTGTATTTCTTACACATGTTGGGGATTTTAGTGTATATTACGGTTCACTGATTATCCTGCCAGTAGAAGCTGGAATAAAGAGAAAGAGAATAACTATTACTAAACTTACTTTTTATGAACTTCTTTGCAGTATTTGAAAGTGACAAACAATACCAAAGAATTAGAAGATTGTAAGCAAGCTAATAAGCTGGGAGCAGTTAACAGCACATTAAGGCAAGTTTTATTTTGGTAGTATTAAAAAAATTCTCTTTCATTTATTTATATCAATAATCTTCTGTTTTTCTTGTGATTTTGATAAGACATTTTTGCTTAACCATTAAATTTTCAACTAATAAATTTTTAAAAGGAAGAAAAAGTTACTCTTTATCGTAAATTCCATAATAGCTTTGCTTCTTCCTGGCTGATTTGTCCTTAAATTTCTAGAATGTATCATCAGGAGTAAATCGATTAAAAAGTAGAAATTTAGAAGATTTCTCAGCTAGCAAGTCTCATAGGTTCACTTTTCCTGATTATTATGGGAACAGTGGCTTGAGCCTCTAAGTCTTTTATAAATAGTAATTCAATCTGCATGTTACATTTTGAGTGATAAAAGTTGCTATTAGCATAACTGTTAAGTTTCATAGATCTTTTTTTTTTCTTTTTCAATTTTCCTTATTTGTTCTCAGCGGAAAATTGCTTTTGAAGGGCCAGCATAAATAATCTATAAATGTTCGCAGATCATGCAGCATAAAATGACTGAACATAATCTATAGTTGGGAATGGAACACCACAGAAACTCTTGTAAATTTCTGTTTATTTAGACTTGTATTTCTGTACTATAATTGCTAATGACTCATAATAAAATTTGCAGTCTTAAATATTGAAGAAAATTTTTCTTCCGTGCTTTTTAAGAAACAAGAAGTATCATATTTTAATTTAAAGTCCCTTATGTTCTGTTTCCTAATCTTGTTTTCTTCCCTTCATCCTTAAAGGTAGGTACAATCATGAATTCGGTGTAATGCAGTTTTTGTTTTTATCATATATACATTTATACTTATAAATGATATATAGTTTTACCTTGTCTATGTGGTTTTATTTTTCCTTTGTATAAATGATAATAGTGTATTTAACATTCTGCAACTTTCTTTTTTCATTATACATTTTGCTTTCAGATCTATGTTGAAACACAGAGATTTGTCTCACTCTTTTAACTGGTGAATGGTCTCCGTCATATAAATATACCATATTTTACTTATCTGTTTTCCTCCTGATGGAGGTTTAGGCTGTTTGCATTTTTTTTTTACTTCTACAAACCATGCCACCTTGGATCATATTCTTGGCCATTGTTTCTCCACTGGGGGGGTTAGATCTTTAAATTGTTATTGATTTGTAGGTGTTCTTTAAATAGTCTAATAATAACCCTTTGTCGGCTAAACGGGTTGTTAGGGCTCGCCTTTTAATTTATTCCGGAATATGTTTTCTGTTGTACACCGGCAGTGAAGTTGCTGAGTGTCAGGCTTGTCCACTTGCAACTACTCGTGATATTGCCTGGTGGCACCCACAGTACTCGCGTGAATATCAGCTGCATCCAGTGCTAAGAGCTTCTGTTCTCCACCTCCTTGCCAGAGTTGGTAATGTTAGTCGAGTGGTAAATAGTATCCCATTTCTGTGATTATGAGCGAACGTGAGCATTTCTTTCATCTGTTTGTTAGACATTTGGGTTTCTTATTCATTCAACCAGTGAACGTCTGCAATGTGCCCAGCACTGTTCTGGGATACTGGGAATACCGCAGCGTACACGATAAACACAATTTCTGCCCTCCTGTAGCTTACTCCTCGTCAGAGGAAACACAGTCAACGAGTAAAGTATATGAGAAGTAAGCATAAAATGGTGACGAGAGCTAGGGAAACAGTAAAACAGGGAGAAAAAACAGAGAGGGCGAGGGGCGAGGGGGTGGCTCTGCTTTAAATTGGTTGGTTAGGGAAGACGTAGTAGTAATAGGACGTTTGAACACACTGCTGAACAATGTGAAGGCTTGAATCGTGACGTGGCCGCCTGGGGGGTGAGCACTCCAGACCCCTGGCAGGATCAAGCCCCGACGGTTTGAGGACCCACGAGAAGGCCAGTGTGACCGCCAGTGTGACCAGAGTACAGCGATCAAGGGCAAAGTAGTAGAAGGCAAGGGCAGAAGAGGCTAGGGGTGGGAGCTGGGGCTGGGGTGGGTGGAGATCTCCTCGAGGCTTGGAGATAATATAATGAATATTGCTTTTAAACTGAGATGGAAGAAAAGTCGCTGGGGGATTTTGAGCAGCGGAACAAGGGCCTGTGTCGACGCAGCCTGGTGTTACATTGTAGAAGCCTGGCTGTGTGGTTATTGTAGTGATCCCACTGAGACAAATGGCAGCGTAGACCTGGGTGGTAGTGGCGGTGATGACAGGTGGTCTGATTCTGGGTATATTTTGAAGATAGAGCCAACAGGATTTGCTGAATGATTGGATATGGGGTATGAAAAAGACAGGAGCTTTATGGATGACTACAGGATTTGGAACTGTAAAAATGGAGTTGCCGTTTACTGAACTGGGGACACCTGCAGGAGGAGCAAGTTTGATGGAAAATTATAGTTGGGCTTTGGACTTGTTAAGTTGCAGCTGCTGATGAGACATCCGGCTGGAGATGTCAAGAGTACGCAGTTGGGGCCGAGCCCATGGCTCACTCGGGAGAGTGTGGCACTGGGAGCGCAGCAGCACTCCCACCGCGGGTTCGGATCACTGGGATGGCCGGTGCGCTCACTGGCTGAGCGCGGTGCAGACGACACCAAGCCAAGGGTTCCCGTCCCGTTACCGGTCTCAAAAAAAAAAAAAAAAAAAAAAAAAAAAAAAAAAAAAAAAAA